AACTAAACGAAGTTGTTTATCACCTGTTTTTGATAAGCTTAATATCAACCGCGTAATCCACATAATCCCTTTACAGCTTCACTGGCCGAAATATATTCAGACTCTATCGATGACAATGACACACAATGTTGTTTCTGTGATGTCCATGAAATTATGCTTGACCCGTATCTGAATCGAAATCCTGACGTTGAACGTCGTGTCTGAATGTCACCTGCGTAATCTGCATCGCTAAATATTCCTAATGACAGTTGTGTATTATGATTAAAATACAAGCCATAATTAAATGTTCGTTTGATATATCGTATAATCCGTTTTACCAAGTTCCAATGAGCTTTAGTTGGTTTTGCTAAGTAGCGACTAGCAAAGTTTACTGCATATGCTATGTCTGGTCTTGTTACCTGTGATACGAATAGTAAGCTACCTACTGCCTGCCTATAAGGAATATCTTCATTCAATATTTCCGTATCTTCCTTTTGTTCAAGTGTATGTGATTTGTCTATCGAAATTGAAAGTACCTTGGCGTCCAGCATATTAAATGTATTAATTATGGTACTTGCATAATTGGTCTGATGCACAAATAAAGAACCATTTTTCATTATATTTACCTGCATACCTAGGAAATATTCTAAGTTTTCCTCTTTAACCTCAAACTCTTTCTCCAAGTTCGTTAAAAGTTTCTCTATTATATCTTCATTATCTGCCGCGATTAAACCATCGTCAACAAATATTGCAAGAATAATTTGGCTGTTATCAGCTTTGAATACACATGCATCCGCTTCGGTACATTGTAAACCAAATGCATTCAAAAAGTTCTTAAAGCGTATATTCCAACATCTCGGACTTTGTTTTAAGCCATACAAACTTCGCTGAAGCTTACATACTTGATTTGAGCCATCTTCGTCACCTGGTGGTTGTACCATGTATATTTCTTCCTGTAGTTCCCCCTACAGAACTGCTGTCTTGATGTCGAATTGTCGTAGTATTAATTTTTCCACAGCTGCTACTGCGAATATCGCCCTAATTGATTCGTATCTGACCACTGGCGAAAATGTTTCATGGTAATCTATACCGTATTTCTGTGAACAACCCTTAATGACCAATCTGGCCTTAAATTTATCTATACTACCGTCAGTTTTATATTTGGTTTTGAACACCCATGCATTTCGTAATGCAACTTTATCCTGTGGCAAATCGACTAGAGTCCAAGTCTGATTTTCGTGCAATGAATTAATTTCGTCGTTCATAGCATTATTCCATTCATTTTTGTTTGACCCAGTAATTGCCTCATCATAATTCAATGGATTGACACAGTTAGCAATAAAAGTCTGAAAATTATACCTGTCCGGCTTCTTAAGTGTATTCCTGTCACGTAGAACCATAACATTTCTATCATCGACTATGTTTTTGTCCTTGTCACGCACGCCCGTTGAATTAATTTGAGTGTCTGTAAACTCTAATGTGTCTGCAATTACATTTTCATAATTATTACATTCGTCTTCGAATATAATGTCTCACTCTCTGCACACGGATATTTTATTTGTTTTCGAATACCATACACGATAACCTTTCGTGCTGTTCGAAAAGCCAACAAATATTCCTTTTTCACTTTTTGGATCCCATTTCTAACGTTTTTGTTTTGGTATGTGTGTATATACCGCAGTACCAAAAACTCGTAAATGTTTAATATCTGGCACGACTTTATAATATAACTCGTAAAGTGGCTTACCATTCTGTGAACTCGTTCCGGTTAGATTAAGTGTATAACCCGCTGTGTTCACAGCTTCTGCCCATAATGACACGTCAAGATTTTTCGCACATATCATTGTCCTGGCAGTTTCTACGATTGTTCTGTTATCACGCTTGACTTTCCCGTTCTGTTCCGGCGTATATGCTACCGTAGTTTGGTGTCGTATGCCATATTTCTGTAGAATACCTGTAATATGCTTGTTTACAAATTCTAACCCATTATCTGTCCTTAATACTTTGACTTTAGATCCTGTTTCTGTTTTAACACTTTTTATAAATGTCTCCATAATATTTTTTACTTCATATTTGTTTTTTAATAAAATATACCGTTCTGTAACGTGAGTAGTCATCTCTAAATAGTCAAAAATATTTTGACATACCTATAGAGTTCCTCTGCATCGGTCCACATAAATCTGCATGTATTAAATCGCCTACGTTAAAATATTCGGTCTCACTTTTACTGAACGATTGACGGTGTTGTTTCCCGATTATGCAGTCGCTGCATACAAATTGATCGTCCTTGGCTGAATAATCAATATTATGTTTTGCCAAACGATTCCTCACGTATTGAATATTCTGGTGAGCTAAACGCTTATGCCATACTTCTTATCGTTTTTCTACTGCAATGTTCGCAAAACATTCAGCTTTCGACGGTGCTTCGACTTTGATCTGTAATTCAAACAACCTACCGCTGCTTGTGCCTATGCATACAGGAATCCCGTTTCTTTTGAACACACACGTTTTATTGTCTGACGTTAGTTTTAAACCTTTGTCTTACAATGACCCGCACGAGAATAAATTAAATTTTAATCCCGGCACGTGCAATACATTTGCCAAGTAATTTTTATTCCAATTACCGTTCACGTATGATAATATATTAATGTTACCTTTTCCTGCTGCATACAGATTTGTTCCGTCACCTATTGTTACCTGTTGTGTATATTTCAATGGTTCATAACTTGTAAACTATTCTAGGTTCGCGCTCATATGATCCGACGCGCCTGAGTCTAAAACCCACGTATCTGCTGTAGTTTCATTTATCCTTGACTCGCTTACAAATTAATTTAAATTTGTACCTGTAGTACCGGTTTTCCCACCTTTCATACTACTTAGAAAATTCTTACAGTTTCTTTTATAATGACCAATTTTACCACAGTAATAACATTTAACATTACTTTTATTAGTAAATTGCTTTTTACCTTTACCATAACTGCCATTTTTTTCCATCAGATCTGTTTTGAAATTTGGCAGGAAATGCACTCCATTTCTCTTGTTCACCAACTTCACCTTTGATCTGGATAACCCGTGATTCTTCAATCAACAACCGACTAGTTAAACTATTTATATTTTTACTTGCCGTTGGGACTGAATCCCAAGCACTGTAAAAATGATTATATTCTTTTGGTTATGTCATTAGTATTTTTGTTATAACTATGTTATCCGTAACTGGTTCACCCGCTACTCTCAGTTTCCTTTTAAATTGACCAATTTAGAAATATGCGTGGACATGTCATCTGTCGGCTCCTTTGAATAACTGAAAAATTGTTGTTGAAGCAAATGTATACTTGCCTCAGACTTCTGATCGTAAATACTCAGCAGTTTCTCCCACATTTCCAATGCAGTCTCACAGTTAATAAAATATTGTAATGGACCATCGTCCACTGAGGTAACTATTATTTTCTGACATTTAACGTCCGCTTTTTGCCAAGCGTTTGTATGCCTTTGCCAACGTGCTTTGGCATCCTCGTCGGTCTCTGCTGCCGACTTTTTTATAGGTAGACTTGGTTTCGTCCATTCACCTGAAACTGTCTCACCTACTTGCAAGGCATTTAGAATGACCTTCATCTGGAATTTCCATAACGACCAGTTTTCCGCACATAATTTTGTTATTTTCACCGTGTCTTTCATGACCGATGATTTCCCGTATACTTTCCTGTATAACAATTTATAACAAAACTTTACCTATGTACACTGTTCCGCCGTTTTCCGAAATCCAGGATATCTCCGACTGGTTGTAGTTTTCAGCGTTAATACAAATATAAAAATACTTCGATCACGAATCCACTAGACTGTATGTCTTGGTTATTGACTAGACTATTGTCCTGGGCCCATAACCTGATGAAAGTGAAGCTTGACGGACTAATGATATTAGTATTAATATAATAAGTAATAACACGACAATAATATGATTATGTATAAGTATAATATATAATAACGTACAACTGGACAATTAAACTGTGACTATACACACACACACCGCGTACACTCGGTATGACAGCGTCTGTGCAAGTGATTATTACATACATCAAAGGCCCTATTTATATGAACAATCGAGGCCATCCCGTATCCGTATATAATATAGAAAGCGATAGTAAAGGTGTTGCACAGCTATATCGTAACTGCATAAGCATCTATTAGAAAACGACATTGTACACGCACGTGTGTTTACATGGTTTGAATACTAATATTAATTGTATATTTCAACAATTTTCCATTAGAGGCTAGGTATTCAAATTAGGTGCTTAATATTTCACAGACTTTCTTAAAATGTGGACTATGCCTACCGGGGTCACCACAATAAAAAAAACGCGCCACGTATAATACCTCTTGCGTTTAAACAACATGGACGATTTAATGTCTTACGTTTAACAAGCAAATGGTGGTGAGGAAATTTATGCACATCTTTGTCATCATGAATCTTGTGGTACTAATAGTTGCAATAAATAATTGCAGAGATTTTTTACATATATAAAAGTGATCTTAGTTTAAAATAATTTGGATTTAGAGATTATGTGGGTTTCTAGGAAGAAATTTCACACTTTTCTAACTTTGTGAAGTGCTAGACAAATAAAATAGATGATAATTTATGATAATTTAGTTGTAGATTTAGATGAAAATTTTTGGCTGTGCATCGTCTTCGTATTATTCAAATTGCGGACAATTTATTATAATATTTTTTAATTTAAGAATTTCTATACTTTCTCATTTATTCCATATTTTTTTTCCATTTCAGGCTAGATATTTCCTCGAAACCGGTGTTATGCTTATTTTATGATATGTTTCGAACAGTTATTATTTAAAATTACTTGTGTCCGCGATACTGTCTGACTGGAAAAACCGACATTTTATAGTAATTATCGACGGTTGATTTTACTCTAAAACTTAGACGTACGCGTATACACCTATAGGCTAGATAACCTAGCAACATTTCTTTAAATTATTGTTATTTGTAGTTCTACTTAGGCTAGTCATCAATGTCTAATAAAAATGAAAATAACATGGACAATACTCCCAAAACCTACGGCCCAAAGGCTACGGTGGCAGGCACAAGTTGGTATCACATTATGATATATGTATACAAACCTTTTTTAAAATATAAAACAAACTAAAACAACTGCAATTAAATAACGCAGATTTTCACTACAACAGCGCAGAACTTTCTATTAATTGGATTGGGCATGGAAATAGGAATGCCCACAATTGTTATTCAACAATTATATCGAAATTCGGACAGTGAATTCTCATTAACATTAACTGAAGTTTCGTGGTATGGTTATTATATAATATAAATAATAGATTTACAGTTTAGGGTAGGTATAACATTTGTAAGTAATGGAAATACTCTAGACGTTGAAAAAAAGGAATATTAGACTAACCTAACTCAAAATAATTGATTTATTCTATAATATTGCTCTCTATCGAGTCTTAACTGTTTTCTAATAACTCACACCACATCACAATATGTGTTAGCAATAATAGTTGTTGTGGGTACTAACCGACCGACCCGACTCTCTAAAAACAAGTCCAGCCACATTGTAATTTGTAGATTCGATTTTATTTTTATCATTGTTCTTGTAACATTTAACAATTATGGATAAGAAAAATAATAATTTTATTTTTATTTTATTTTTATTTTATTTATTGGAATATACGGGCTAGGCCCTTTTTTTACATAGAAAAAACTGATAATAATATGGTTTACAAAGAAAGAAAAGTAAATAGAAGATGAAAAAAATAACAAAAAATAATAATATTAATAACAATAATATTAAAAATATACATATGCATTTCAATAATAATAAATATGACAGAGCTAACTAAAAGAGAAAGTGGGGTCCAGATTGGCATTATGCATCATACGCCTTAAAGGCTCATTTAGTAAGTAGTTGGTGGAACAAAAAGGGACATGAAATGGAGTAATGGAGCGGGTGGAGCGTTGGGGTACTTTAAAATTAATTAAGGATAGTAAAGTTGGGGAATCAACACTACCATCTAACAGTCCATTCAAGAACTTGCTACCCATAATGCGCCTGCGCTCTGCCAGTGAGGCTAGATTAAGCTGAATAGCAACTGGGGAATAATCATGAGGTGGAGATTTGATGCCTAACAGGAAGCTTGTAAATCGCAAGAACCTGCGCTGTACCCTTTCGACCTGGCAAGCATTGTCGGCAGTATGGGGATCCCAAACAATGGCACCATATTCAATGATTTATTATTATTTAGAAAGATGAAAATATTTGAACAACTAACATGTATTTGATTCTAATTTATGTAGTTATTAGTTCATTGAGATTTCAGAACATGAACTATCTAAGGTAACCAAAAAAAGGTTTAAATTATTAAAAAACTAGAGGTTCGCTATTGAGTGAGTTTATCAAATTGAAAATCAGAACACTGCACTACAATACGTTTCACGAAATTGTACTCGGCTTATATGCGTCGTTTTTGTGATAAATTGTGGAGTATAATAATATTATTGTAAGTACCTATCAATATAATATTATAAAAACTGCTGTTCGCGCACCAGTTCAAATCACCCACACTCTGCCGCATCAAATAGGTACGCTAAATTATACATTTATATTTTTACTATTATGCAGGGAGTATATTGTTTATATTTCATCCGACCGGAAGTTTTCTATCGGGATTCCTGCAAGAAAGATATGGAAGGAAACGGTGCATGATTTTCGCCAACGTCCCCAGTATTTTTGGATGGATATTGCTGTACTACACACACTCCACAGTTTCACTTTACTCGTTCACCGTGCTGATGGGCTTGGGCATAGGATTCAGCGAAGCCCCGATATTGTCGTACGTCGGTGAAATAACCGAACCGAGATTCAGGGGATCGATGGCTTAATTGGCGTGTACCTCGTCTATGCTTGGAGTGTTGTTGACTTACTTTTTGGGATATTTATTCGAATGGAGAACCATCACATTGCTGAGTACACTTTGTCCGATCACTTGTATATGCCTTGTGATTTTGATACCTACCTATATGTTTACTATACGTATAAGTTAATTTTAATGGTACACATGTGCCTGTAATGCTTATACATTACAGAGTCTCCAGTGTGGCTGGTTTCCAAAGCGAAAAACGAAAAAGCCGAAAAGGCCTTGTGTTGGTTAAGAGGATGGGTAGAACCCGAAATTGTCAAAACCGAACCCCTTGAACTCATCCGATGTAACGAAGTATCTGGAACTCATCGAAGAACGGACAGAAGTTGGTATATCGAATAATCAAAGTTTGCTCTTGGTAAATATAGGTACTACGGAAATATATACACTTTTATAAGTAAAATAATAAATATTTTTATTGAAATATTTCCAGGTAGTTTTTGCTGTACTACAAACTATTGGATCCTTGATAGTAGTATTGACCGTCCATTATATGGTTAAAAGGTTTTTGACTAATTTGACATTTTTTATCAACACATTATTGATGTTTTTATTCGGCATCTACATTGTAGCAATTAAGAATGGCTGTATCTACTCAACTCCTTGGATTCCTTTAACTATATTATGTGGCATTAACTTTTTTGGAGCTTCAGTCAATATTTTTCCATGGATGTTACTTAGTGAAGTTTTCCCAAACAAGTAAAGCTCGTTAAAATTATACATTTTCTTACACAATAATTTACTATTCTTAGAAATATTACAATAAGTCAGTTGATGAATATGTTTAAATAAAATCAACAAGTTATACTGAGTCGGTATAGTATTTATGGTGGGGAGAATGTAGGGGATATTTATTCCCCCACCAAATATAATTTATAATGTTCTTATATACCTACCTAGTGTATATAGTATTAAATTTGATAGGAAAAAAAATGTCTATATTAATACAGTTGTTTTTCTTTTTTTTTTAAGAATTTATAGTGGTTTCTTAATGGTGTACATAAAAATATATGTTAGGACTTAAAATTGTGATATCCATCAAATAATTTTTGATTCAAAATAAAAATTTATTACTGTCCGTATGTTTGTACTTTTCTAGCTTATAGACCCAAATAGTACTCCACCGTTGTTGACAAATATACGCTATATTTGTTGATAGTCACCATATTATGTACTTATAGGTAGTTAGAAGGAACAGAGTAGGTACCTACTTGTACGAATATTTGATATTTGATATTTGCTATTTGTTCTTCGCTACCTCCTGGTGGATTATCAGTGACACGAAATAATAATATACGTTATATGTTCGTAAAATAAATTACTATAAATAAATTATTCGTTAAATAATTCCCAAGTGGGAATGGTCTACTTGGCTGGTCAAGTAATTTGATGATTATTCGAGCATTGGATAATTGAAAACCGATATAATATTATATATACATAAATTATTATAATATTTAAACATAGGTAGCTGTGTTGCCTACCATTAATTATAAATTATTATGTAATAGTGTAGTACTAACATTAACTAAAAGTAGATTACAACATAGTACATTTTTGGGGATGATTATGATAATTAGAGATAGTAAGTGCAATATTCTATACTCACCGAAGAATAATATCTATGTAGGTACCTAATTTTAGGTAATATTGTTTATTTTTATAATTGACATATAAATTACGAATCAGGTATATTCCATCCTTTTAATAATTCAATCTAATTGCAGTTGGGTATGATTTTTTTTTTCAGAGTCCGAGGTTTGCGACTGGCTCATCTGCAGGATTGTCTTATTTATTAATATTCATATTAAAAAAATCATACATAGAAATAGAGATTCTATCGACCTTGGAATACACTATGGTTCTCTTTGGTTGTTTGGGCATTTTTGGATCACTCTATTTATACTTTTATTTACCAGAAACGGAAAATAAAGCACTATTAGAAATCGAAGAATTTTTTACATACAATATACAAATAAAGCTATTTATAATAATTAAACATAGCATTAATAAATGTAGCTAGTTTTGTTTTTAGAATATCATGAAATGCATTTACTTGAAAATTCATAATTCCAATTTAAAGCTACATTGTGTCACATATCCGACATACCTACTTAATTAAGTCAGTACTATTCTGTGATGTGAAATATTTTTTTTAATTACTGTATACATTATTTCCTTTATTAAAGCAAATATTCTGACGTATAGTCATAATATATTGTGCATTAAAATTAACGTAAATGTTTGGACGCAAAAACAATAAATAATAATAAAGTGAGTAAGTGGATGTCGCTCTGCTGTACAGTAGGTTACAAGTGGGTCAATGTATAAAGCGGTGGAGAACGATTCCGCAAACTTTGCTGAATCGTTTTGATTTTAATAGCCACTGATATACATGCACGACTCCGCAAATGTAATATATATATACACGATTCCGCATAATTTTAAATGCAACGTTGCCATTCCGAAAACAAAATAATATTTTTAAATTTCAACGAAATAGCTATTCGCTTGGTTAAGCTTGATTTTAATATGAAGTAATCTTGTCTAAATTTGAAAATGTAGGTAAATAATAACTGTAGTTTTATATTTTTTAGGTTGTATATGGTTACAGTAAAAACATTGGTAATATATAACAACATTCAGCGAAAATGTCATTTAAATTTGGTATTTTATTTTAGAGATACACAAAAAACTATAAATAGTTTTTTTTTCGAAAAATAGTTTTGCATAAAAATCTCAGTTCTTAATGACACTTTTGAAAACTATTTTGAATTTTTACTTTTTACCCCAAAGTACTTACTAGATTCACTTTCCTACAAGAAATATGCTGCTGAAGAAAATTCAAGCATTTTTAGTGTCCCAAACGATGATGACAGACATAAATAACGATAACAAATGGTTCCTACAATCCTGCTGTATAGTATAGTAAGTTATCGAGCCATAGCTAAATAATAAATAGGACCATTTCCGGAGAACATTTTTCTTTTTGACTGAGATAAAAAAACTTGTAGGGAACCATCTATTAAAATTATTGATATCAATCATAGCACGAATAATCGAAACATTAACTAATAAAATACATTATTACTAAACAAATAGTTAATGCATTTAGGTACCTAATCAGTAATCATTTATAAGAACTATTAACATATTATGTTGTTTCACATCGTGATATGAAACAAAACAATATTATTGTTAATTAATAATTTTTGAATATTATTTATTATATTTTATTTTTTTTAATGAACAGTATACCTATATTATATAAGTATAATTTTATATTTGTAATTAAATATTAATAATGTTCATATAAAAATGTATTAGAATTCTATTTTTTTTTTATTTTTTTGTTAATCAGTATAAGCTTTACTTTGTAACTATTATTATTATGATGTATAAGCTCTATGTCGTGTATAAATTTGATATTATACTGTGTTGGCTATTATCTAAATAAACATATTATATTATATTGTGTATTACTGTGCTGGCTATAAATATTATTATTATTATTATTATTATTGTAGTAGGAAGCTGGTGAATATATTGTTTATTTTTGGACGACGATGAACACTTTGTAAATGTTTAATCGAAAAAAATTAGTTTATTTATATTGTAATACATTTCGACAGTGCTTTTTTAAATTATCGTATCGAATAAGTTTTTAACTATTTTAACTTTGGTTTTTTTATTATATTGTTATTAAATTAAAGTAATGTTTTCAATTTGATTTTTGTCCACGACTTAAAATAGCTGCCGACACAGAAACTAGCACCCTAAGTTTCAAGCGTGAAGTCAACCAATATTATTAAGATGTGGCTGCAGCTGGTCCAAGTTATGCTAAAGGTATGGTTTTAGTTAAATTCCATTTTCCTTGAGTATTAATAATACTTAACGTAGTTAAAATTAGTTAGAGAACGATAGGTGCACTTAGGATTGATTCGATAATCCAGATTTTTTAAAAACCGGATTTTAGTGAAATAATTTACAGGCGGAAGGCCTACGGACTCGTTATAATATGTTTAAAATTTGTGCGAGATTAAATTTCTTTCAAAACTAAAATCCTAAGAAAGCCTATTTTTATCGTATTAAATATTTGAACTCAAAGGCGTTACTTATATTCGAGAAACAGTGTATTTTGTTATTTTTCTTCTTGCGGAATTCGGTTTTTAAATTCCAATAATAATGTCTAGTGCTAATACGTAATTTTATATAAAAACACCAATATAATAAAAATATACGTAATATACATATTACATACTAAACACAACATAATAATGTAAAAAAAGAAATGAATAATTAGGTAATGAATTCAGTAAATCTAATAAAAATTACATAGGTACCTACTTATATTGAGGTAACGTCCCAGGTTTATATTTTATTTTTATTGTTGTGATTTTTCTATAATCAGTGTTCTTTTAGTAGGTATCACTAGTTATTAGGTACTTACCTATGTTCTACTCAAAATAATATATTCACAGTCAAAATTTATGTCATACAAATTCATCAGTCAGACAAATTATTTTTAAATGTTTTTAATCTTTTAATTGTAATTCATATACAATAATTTCAGTATTTGATAAATTTAACTTTTTTACTTTCTATATATTTCACTGTAATGATTACCTATATATTAAATGATTAAGCACATTTTTGTTAAAAAAAGTATTTTCTACCCATTGAAATTGAATAAAAATTAGTTTGTTCGCGTAACAATAGTTTTTAAAAACCTTACAATTATGTACTTCTTTTATTAGTTTATTAAATGTATCAACAATTTAATGATTTTAAATTGATATGCTATTCTATGTATATATTAAATATTTTATTATATCATGTTAAGCATTAAAAGTTTAATTATTAAATATTCAATAATTAAATAATTATAATAATTATTATTATTATTACATTTTTTAATTTTTAATTTGACGGCTCATTTCGACAAACCGTATAATTTTTGTGAACCGTAGGCAGCATTTGAAATGTAAGGTACAACTCGTATAGTAACACCTATAGAGATTTAAGCGCAAAATAATATAAAGTGTCAATTTTTAATTAGATGTTTATTTCTAATTAAAAAAATCCATATTAAATATAATATAATAAACATAACATACATTTTTACGTATATTTTGACAGCCTCATCACTGTCACTAATGTAAATTTAAAAACATTTTTTTTTTTTTAATTTACAGAATTTTAGGTAAGTTACGTATTTACTATCATACAGATATTCAAAGATATCGCAAAAGTCCAAAGCTGTGTCGTCTTCTCTGTCTTTCAGTCAGACCTAGTCGGACATTGAACTATTGTGTTCGCCGTGCGGAGATCGCTACGTAACAAGTAAGACGAAGCTGAATATCATTACAACCAGACATCCAGTTCGGCCACTTTGACCACTATCGTGGACAAAATTTAATGACGAAACTTGGCATTCTGACCGCGTCAACCATCAACCGTAGTTTAGAGTCTATGACCCATCCGACGACGGATCAGACCGGCTTTTCACTGAGCGGTATCCGACCGCTGTCCACTGGGAACGAGGCAGTCGTGTACACCATTGTAAGCCGGGTACATAACTTGGTGAACCAGGTTATACGTTGCGTGGTGCACCACCAGGTTCACTATGCGGGCACCAATAGGTACACCGTGTTAAATAGAGGTAACCAGGATACACTAGGCGGTGCACCGTCTTGGTGTATA